ACTACAGAGGGATCACTCTTCTCTCAATACCAATTAAGGTCTTCAACAGAATCTTTTTGTAGAGAATCAAGACAGCAACGGATCCAAGACTACGGGATGAATAGGCTGGTTTCCGGAAGAATCGCTCAACCACCGACCAGATTGCCACGCAGAGGATCATTGTGGAACAGTCCCTGGAGTGGAACTCCCAGCTGATCGTCAACTTCCTTGACTATGAAAGGCTTTTGACAGTGTAGACCGAGCAACACTATGGAAGAAACTGAGACACCACGGAATCCCACAGACGTTGGTGAACCTCATTAAGAGCATGTACGAAGAGACAAGTTGCAGGGTTGTACATGATGGCCAGCTCACTCACAATTTTGACATCAAGACTGGTGTGAGACAGGGATGTTTATTATCACCGTTCCTCTTCATATTGGCAGTGGACTGGCTAATGAAGGAAACCACCAGAGGGCACAGAAACGGTATACAGTGGACCATCATGGACACAATTGGACGATCTGGACTTTGCAGATGACCTGGCGCTTCTGTCACACTCTCAGGAACAGATGCAAGCAAAGACCACAATTTTAAACAGCCTATCCGAGTCTGTTGGATTGAGGATCCACCCCGGAAAGTCGACACAAAGAGACATGGTGGCTTTATGAGGAGGAATCTCCTCGATCGAATGAAAACTGGACGATAGATTGGAACGTGTAAACAGACAGGACAGTTTGATAAAACGGACAGTTCTCTCATACGACGAATCTGATTCAATTTATCGTTGCGTGTAACTGGGGCTTAAGACTCCAGCTCGACTTTCGTAAGGAAATGTTTTATTCCCTTCATTCAAAAAAATGTGTTTGTTTCTCCAAAATAAGCTGATTTCTTTTCCTATGTCGAGGGGGACTGAAAACCGTTTGTGTGTGTCTGTGTGTGTCTGTGTATTTGTTTGTTAGTGGGGGAGGGGCGTGTTTGTGTGTTTGTGTGTGTGTGTGTGTGTGTGTGTGTGTGTGTGTGTGTGTGTGTGAGCTGCTGCCCTTGGTATTTTATCAAGAATTTGTCTCACTTACATTATATCAGTGTATGTACAAGAAAGCAACTCCAGCACCACTTTTGATAGGAAATGTTTTATTCCCTTCTTATTAAAAAATGTATTGTTTCACCAACTTAGACGATGTCTTTTCCTATGTTGAGGGGGACTGAAAACCGTCTGTGTGTGTGTGTGTGTGTGTGTGTGTGTGTGTGTGTGTGTGTGTGTGTGTGTGCCTGTGTACTTGTGTATGTGTGTCTATGTGTGTCTATGTCTGTCTGAGTGTGTATGTATGCACGCGCGTGTGTGCGCGTGTGCGTGTATGCGTGAGTGTACAAACGTGTGTGCCGCGCGCGTGTGTGTATGTGTGTGTGTATGTATGCACGCGCGTGTATGCGCGTGTGCGTGTATGCGTGAGTGTACGAACGTGTGTGACGCGCGTGAGTGTGTATATCTGATGTATACATTAATGGCTGAACAGACAACCCAGCCCTGTGACCTCATGACCTGGTGACCCACAGAG